GTTAGACAAGGCTAAACAACGGTGGAGAAATCCCAAATCCAACTCTTGGTCTCTAAAAAGAGTATTGCTCAATTATTAGCTTTTTGCCCTGGAACTCACAGAGAAGCCTGTCCAGCAGGCCCTTCTGAGGTGCAATTTCTTAAGCAGATTCTTAGATATCAGATTTGAAAGAAAAGGTGCAGTAGGGATAGCTACATTCTTAGAGAGACACAGGGAGGGTACCAGTCTYAATAGAGCATTTGATACAATTCAGGGTACCAGGAAAGAAGGAGCTGTCTTGGCCAAAGTGGAATGAATGCAAGTATTTCTGTAGAAACATGGTAATTTTTTTTATTACAAATAAATGCCATAATAAAAATAACATCAAGGAATAATGCTCAGTCCTGTTAAGTGACTGGAGTCATTTCTGGAGAGGGATGGAAATGTTACTACTGCTGAAAAATGTCCATGAGAAAAGTTTCCTCAAGGCAATCTTGAGCTCCTTATTCCTCATGCTGTAGATGAGGGGGTTCAGTACTGGAGGCACCACTGAATAAAGAACAGTCACTACTAGATCTAGAACTGGGAAGGAGATGGAGGAGGGCTTTAGGTAGGTAAACATGCCAGTGCTGACAACGAGGGAGACCACAGCCAGGTGCGGGAGGCACATGGAAAAGGCTTTGTGGCGGCCCTGCTCAGAGGGGATTCTCAGCACAGCTCTGAAGATCTGCACATACGACCAAACAATGAAAATGAAACAACCAAGGAATAAAGAGGCACTAAGCCCAGTAAGCCCAGCTTCCCTGAGATAGGAGTGTGAGCAGGAGAGCTTGAGGATCTGGGGGATCTCACAGAAGAACTGATCCACCTCATTGCCCTGGCACAACGGAATGGAAAATGTGTTCCCAGTGTGCAGGAGAGCATTGAGAAAGCCACCGGCCCAGGCAGCTGCTGCCATTTGGACACAAGCTCTGCTGCCCAGGAGGCTCCCATAGTGCAGGGGTCTGCAGATGGCCACAAAGCGGTCATAGGCCATGACTGTGAGGAGAGAATACTCAGATGACATGAGAAAGGAATAACTTAARACCTGGGCAGCACATCCCAAGTAGGAAATGGCCCTGGTGTTCCAGAGGGAGTTGGCCATGGATTTGGGGASAGTGGTGGAGATGGAGCCAAGGTCAAGGACAGAGAGGTTGAGGAGGAAGAAGTACATGGGGSTGTGGAGGCGGTGGTCGCAGGCTATAGCTGTGATGATGAGTCCATTGCCCACGAGGGCAGCCAGGTAGATGCCCAGGAAGAGCGAGAAGTGCAAGAGCTGCAGCTCCCGCGTGACTGCAAATGCCAGGAGGAGGAACTTGTTGAGGGAGCTGCTGTTGGACATTATTTCCTCCAGTCATGTGAGATTGTCTAAAAGAACAGAAGACATTGAGAAGTTAGGAGAGACTTTTCAAGAAAAATAAATTCCAATTCATTCAGTTTTCCRATGCGCCTCCCTCATGCCCTCTCTTCAGCAAGAGTGTTCTAGT